GCTACAGCGGAATATTGTTCTGCATTGTAGCTCCAAGAACCCTGGCAGCATTTTAAGAAGCGGTGCTAGATTTCCCACATTTTCTTGGTTATATCATGCAACTTATTACTCATTTAGTGCTGGAAGGCCAGAGTTGCTGATAGAAGCAATTTAAAAAAAAAATCTACAGGTGTTTTTTTGTTTTTTGGTGGGGTGGCAGATTGATTTGGTATAGCTCATGAGCTATGTACAACGAATGGTGGGGTTCATTCAAATAGTGCTGTTGTCTTCAGGCATGCATTGTTGGGACTGAATTTAACGGCTACAGGTAATGGGCTAGATTCTCAACTTGAAGTTAATGGTGCAACAGAGCAGAATCTGGTCCACAGTCTGTACAAAATAAGCACATAACTCTGAGTCTCCAGGTAACACCCCCATTCAAAGGCACAATCAACTTTTTGCCTCCATGGAGGAAAGAGTCCTTATATGGACTAATAGCATTGAGAAATCTTTTACAGTAAATCCTTGATAAACATTTAACTGTTTCACAAGTTTTACTGTAGAATCCTTTACGCAAAGCTATGAGTCATGAGCTCGAGTATGGAATTGTTGGCAGAGTGAATGAATTTTCTGCATGACAATAAGACCAGTAATCTGTATGCATTACAGTAGATTTCTATTGCTTTAAAACCAAATTATGTGTGATTACATTTAGGACAGGAGCAGTTAAGATTGAGAACAAAGAATGAAGCCACTGGGTGGAAAATCTGAAGTTATTTACTGATGTTTCTGCTACAGCTCTTTTTCTTGTATAGTAATAAATTATATCCTGACTCACAACACGGAAGGACTATTTAAATAGTGACCTTCAAGTCAATTTTATGTTGGTCTGTTCAGCAGTAAGTCCAGCAAGAATGTCTATGAAATGTAATATTTGACCTGTGGTGTATGTCACAGGTGTTCTATATAAGGGAAACAAACCGACCTTTCTTCACAGAGATGAGTCTTGCAGGAGTTCTAGTATGGCACAATGGTCTGGTCCACAGATCAAAATGCCAGAGCTCTTGTTTATTGCTCTAATACCTTCTGTGCATTTCTTGTGCCTTTAGCTGATATTAACATAGGCTTTTCTCCTCAGTACTTTGTACGCAGTACCCACGAGGACAGCTTTCTGCCCATAAAGAGGAACTGGCAATGGAGCAAGGATGCAAGGGAAGGATGTCCGCTTTCCCCTCAAAGGGATGATTACCAAGCAGCAGTAGACTGCAGTGGAACTCTTGGGGCGACTAAATAATTGAAAAGCTGAAGTAACAACTACTTTAAAATGCCCAAACATTATGGAACTACAAAATACCCCCACAAAACTGAGGAGAGGTATCAAATTACTAGTAATGGAGTGTCTACATAGATTAGATAATGGCACTGTTGATATGAGAATGGACTGTCAATGCAATGCTAAATCTCTGAGCATGCCCAGTGTGAACTAGAGGTTACCAGAAGCCTGAGCACATTTAGACTGAGCTGAGTGCTGGTGCAGTAAGTAATGCCATTTCTTTTCTTCTGACAAGCCCAGTTCCCTCCTGAGTGATTATGAAACCGTACAAAGAGAGCTGAGCAGTAGTGGAGGATAGCGACCTCTGAGAGTGCATAGGCATAACTGACTTAGGGAGGTGAATTCAGAGTCAGAGGAAGGATCTGACTCCGAACAGGGCAGGTTCTTCCTACCCAGTTAAGCCTGAGGAGCTTCCACCACCAAGCAGTCTTTCTCCTGTCAAATCATTGCATGGGATATTTTTTCCTCATGTCAGATGTTTTGACAAGCCTGTTTTCCACTCCAATAACCCTTCCCTCTTGTAATGGAAGTACTCTCATGAGTCTGTGCCCAAAAGGCATTCAGCAGATATTTTAGTGAGGTCTGTCAAAGGACCAAGATTAAGAGCAATGAGGGGAAGTGAGAGGACAGGGAGCCTCTTGATGAAATCCCATTCAGCTGGAACCCTTCTGCCAGGTCGAGTTGACAGCAGCAAGGGTCGGGTTCAGTACATAGGGGTTCCCTTTCAACAATACAATGCAAAACTGGCTCGAGCCCCCACCCAGTGACCTGGAAAATTTACACACATACCCCTGGGCACCTCAAAGAGGCAATACTTCCCCTCTCGCAAGCACAGAGTCTCAGTGTAGCAAAATTATTTAATAACATGAGATAAACAACTAGCATTAAATTGGGAAAACACCACAACTAGGGTTCATAAACACAAACCATGAACCAGAAGACCCACCCCCAAGCAGATTGGGCTGTGTCCTTTCCCTTTGGTTCTTGAATCCAGCAACCCAAAAGTCACCCCTCCCACAGTTTCTGTCCCGGGTCAGTGCAGGCCCTCCAGAGTTCAAAAGTTCATTTGAAGAGTTTACCTCCCAGCCTGTGTGGAAGGGGAACAGGGGAGGAGGTATGGGGCACCTTACATGCACCACTGCTCGTATCAATGGCCGATTGCCCCGCCTCTCCGTGGGGTTCTGCTGCAGTCTTCACCATGAGCCACTCTTCACCACCAGCCATCCTGCTAACCACTCACCAATATGTCTTCAGCCCCCCACACCTAACACAGCTCTCAGTGATTTCAGCTCTTAGTAACTTTAGCTCTTTAGTGATTTCAGCTGTTAGTAGGGGAAGCTTCAGTGCTGGTTCACCACTAGCCCAGAGTAGGTATAATGCTTAGACCTAGGTATCAGTGATTTCTGCTCTGCAGCATGTAACAAGACCCCAAATAGAATCAAAATTAGCTCTGTTATTACACTATGGAGAAAGGAGGAGGAGGCGTCATCATCATCAAAATAGTGTAATACCCTCAGAGGAACTCACACTACCAAATACCTATTCCCAACCTCTCTCTATTCACTGGCTTTTGGAACCCATGTCCCTTGCCTAGTGAGTGCTACTTAGTTGAGGGCAAGTCCCTCCATCACAAAATGCCAAGTACAGTTCTACTGTCCTTGATCCACATAATCAGAATAACAACACTTTACTACTCCTGCCCCAATAACAAAGAGACTGGGAATCCCACAGCAGCCAAAGTGACCATTTGGGCAAGCAGTCCCATCATGCTAGGCAGGGTGGGTAAGCCCATGCAAATAAGATCAGCCCCTGAAGTCTTCTTTCCCAGATCACCACCAGATGTCAGGGTAGAGCCCACTCTGACTCCGCTTACACAGCATTGCAGGGATTATCTAGTGGCTAGGCCTCCAGCCTGGCACTCAGGAAAGATGCATTCAATTCCTTGTTTAGCAAGGGCTCCCTGCATGAGCACAATTTGCCAGAGGTAAATAGGGATCATACTTTCCTGCTTTGTGCAAGGTGGTGATAAGCTCTCAAAAGAGCATGAGGTATATTTATAGGGGCCTCTACAGCCTTCCAGCCAGTTGATGCATACATTACTGTTAGCGACAAGCACCTAAACACAGGTGCCTACTGCTCTGCTTTAGAGGGCCCCAGATGTGCTCTGAGCATGTCCCTTTCAGCCTGCCTTGATAGTGGTGTAACAAGGCCCTTATGCAAGAATAGGTTAAGAGTCTGATTCTGAAATCCAGCCCCATTGCTCCTCCATAGCCCCAGTCCAGCCCTAGCTTCCCTTCTGTGGAACCCTTTGCTCTCCTCAAGTTCTGATACAGCTCCCTGATCCAATCACCCCTTCAGGCCCTTTTAGCTTCCCTCCTTCTCCCACTTCCCTCATCCATCCCCTCAGTCCTGTTTCAGGCTCCCACATACCCTACCCCAATCCCCTCCAGCTCTGCTCCAATCTTCCCTTTCCCCCCTGCTCCATTCCAACCCCCTTCCATAACCCCCAGTCTAACCCCCTCCATTCCCTTGCCCCAAGCAAAGGGGCCAATGCTTTCACCCTGCACTCTGTCTCTAAGGGAAGACTGCATTTCCCATCTCTCGGGCCTTCCCCCATATCCCACGCATCCCCTGGTGCTGCATTCCACCCTCCTCCCTTTTCTCCACGCTTCCTTGCTGGCTGCTCATACCCAGGCTCATCCTAGCTGGAGGGCCCCCCCAATCCCAGCCACTCTCCCCCTCTTCACTGCAGCACAGCTCAACTTCTGCCGGGTTGGTGGTGCCACGAATGGGGATACATGTCTGCAGGTAGATCTGAGTTCCCTCCACAACTAGCAACCCCCTGCAGCACCATCACAGACAGCCCCCTGCCCTGATCACCTGTTGCCTGCATTCTATCCCCTGGGGGGTTACCCATATGTACAATCTGATTACATCTCCAGGCCGAGGGTACACAGGTGGATCCTATCTACTGTACCGGTTGAGTGGGCAATCCCCTTATAGCTCCAGACAGGGGGTGGCAGCCTTCGCTCCTCCCACCCTGGTATCTCTGGCCTCCTAGGTTCTACCTCAAAATGCTGCTCTGGTTAGGCCCATAACCTTGTGGGCCCTAGTGTGCCTGCACCACTTGCCCCATTGTAGTTATACTACTGTGCCTTGACAAATCCTAACTTGAGTGGCAGGATTCCTGAAGCAGAGGACCATTTCCCTTTCTTGTGCTCAGCACAGGACCTATGGGAGGAGGACTTAATCCCTGGAGAACAGCAATGCTCCTGTAAATGCCCCCCTTCTTCCTGCCATGCACCCTACGCTGGGAGGGCTGCAAGGGGATGGGATCAGGGATTGAGAGGAACCCTCAGCCGGTGGGCAGGGCAATTTAACAACCTCTCAGTGGCACCAGCAGGGCAGAGAGGGCTCACAGAGGGGCCAGAGTCTAGATCAGCAGCTGTCCAGATGCAAAATGTAATAAAAATGATCAAACTATGAGTAATACATTGTGGTCAGATTCTGATTTCCGTTTCACAGGTAGAGATCTGGAGTAACACCACAGAAGTCAGCTTGGCCATAAATCCAGGGTGAGAAGAGAATCTGACCTGACTTGTTTTCTGGCAACAGCAACCCAAATTGTTTCCCTCCTCCTTATCCTGCTGCAAGCTCCCACAATGCTCCTTGAAATGGCATTACTCACTTCTGTTTCCAGGGTGAGAAGTGCTTGAATTGGTCCCCAGATGTCAAGGTGGTTCTGTTCTGCCATGCCTGAGAGAGGTGGTTGCACACAGCACAGTCTGTGCAAGCAAAGGCAGTTGATTTGATCACCATGGAAACCAGACCGCTTATGAAGAGCTATGTTTACTCCTGTTTGTTAGTATGAATATTTTATCGTTTATTTCCCTAACCAAATGGAGAAACATTATGAAATTGGCAATTTGCCCTCTGTGTGCGGGTCCAATCCCGCAGGGCCTCCATCCATGGTGTTCTAGTTAAGAGAGTCTCACCTGCAGATACCTGGAGGATTAGGTCCTCTTTACATTGGTTCAAGAGCACAAAATGTTGTGTAGGGACAACACTCTTTGCTATATCAAGTTATGCACTCAGAAGAGCCTCATTCTGGTTGGTTTTAAGACCAATCCCGCCTCCCCACAAAGAATCAGTGTTGTTTGGATGCTTTTTCATATTTGGGATAGCACGATTGCCATGCATGACAAGGGACTTGGCTCAAAATGCTCTTGCCACTATTATGGTCATCTTGTACAGCCCACTATGTAAATATGAAGTTAGTGGCTGTATTATGGCTTTGTTTTCTTTGTATTATACCTTTACATTTCTTTAGGGCTGGTCTGTGTGCAGAGACAGCTGCCATTTTGTAAGACAGCGTTAGTGCAGCATGTTCCAGAGAAGACACACACACAGTGCTCTCTCATGGAGACCAATGTTCTTCTCATGGTTTTCCCCATTTGCGTGACTGGTGCATAAGAAGCGATACTATAGAGTGACTTCAAACCCAGAGCACATCACAACAGACAAAACACCACTGAAGCAGAAGTCAATGACCAACTGGGGAAAACAGAAGAAGTGTTATCTAGTGGTTACTACACAAGGCTAGAAGTCAGGCACTCCACAATTCTAATCGTAATACTGACACCAATTCCCTCTGTGACCTTTAGCAAGTTCCTTAGCCTTAGTTTCCCCTTGTGAAAAGTGAGGTACTTGTTACTATAAGTAAGCAAATGTCTCACAACAAATAACTTATTTAGCAGATGTTGACAGTGATTCTCTTCAAACTGTATGTTAAGAGATTCCCCAAACATATTCACTATTCCAAGTTACACATGTAATGTGGCTGTTACGGTCATGAACCACTCCAGACATTGTGCATGCCAGCCTCAGCGCAGACTGTCAAAAAGCAGGGCAGACATCCCAAACGGGTTGTATGATCTATAATTATATTTCACCAACCCAGTAACAAGTGTGAACTCCTAAAGCACTGTAACAGTCTTACCATGGAGACACAGACAGTCTCCTTGGGCATTCCAGTCTATCTTACCAGTCAGGAAAGCTAGGCTATGTGACAGATGGTCATTTTACACCAAAAATCACAATATTCAGGTTACTCCCAGTTCCAAAGGACCTGTCACTTACCCCAGGTCATTTGTACTCAGATCTCAAACTAAAGACAATGCCTGTAGCCAATCCTGTAATAAACTAACTAAAGATTTATTAACTAAAGAATGAGTTATTTACAAGGTTAAAACAGGAAACATATACACACAAATGAGTTACAGTCTTAGATATAAAAAGTAAAATAAGGAGCTCTATATGTCCTTTTAGGGCTGACCCGTGCCAAGCAACATGAAGATCTCTTGATTATGTTTAGGAATCTTTGCCCCTCAGAGTCCAGACAGCATAAAGATCCCAGTTGCTGCTTGTCAGGGATTTTTATTGGCTTCACCCCAGAATCCAAGCTGACGGGATGAGTTCATGCCCAGGTCTCTCCTTCCTGGAATGCAGTCAACAAGGTCTGGGTTCTCTGATGCTACATGATGTCTCATTTGCCCTCAGTGGGACATCCTGTGTGAAGGATGAGCACTTTACCTTAATTAATGCTTCTTTTCCAGTTTGGTAAGTTACACAATTACAGAGGTTTACAGAGCAAACACTCAATATAACTTTACACCAAGGCCTGTAGATGTTATAAGTGAAATCAATACATGCAGCATCCTACACTGTTCATAAGGTTTAGACACCAAACACATTCTTACAACTCTAATATTTATCTTACCAACACTAACATACACCGAAGCCAGACTGGTTTCCAGCTGTGTATTTGTCAATGTTCAGTGAGATCTCGGGATCAGCTGGCAACTGGTCTCCCAGCCTCACAATGGCATATAAAGACCTAGGTAAGGGATACATAGATATATAGTGATCTCAGGAAAAAACATAATACCCCAGACACTTGGTAGTTGCCATCAGGTGCATTTCAGAGGGTTTGATTTTTTGTTATTTTAAAATTGGAGTGAGTGCTGGGGGCAAGTGATCTATGGAATGGATGATTTAGTCAAGCCCTGAAATGGGGCAATTCCATCAGAGACAGGGAACTCATCCCACACCATCACCACCTTCCATTTGGGACAAAGTTTTAACAAGAGGCACCTGTCCAATGCCCCACTAGTTGTGGGGAGTAGTAATGGTACAGCGAGGGTAGATTTTATTCACTAGGAACCAAGTCAGAAAAAGCATTTTAATGGAACAAGTTGTGTTTTCTGTAACACAATGAAATATCAGTCTGTGCTATCTGGATTCACAGACAACTTTTCTGCCTCACACAAATCAGTTTTCCAGTCTTAACACACGGACACAGTTTATGTACAGAATGGATTTATTGCAGTTTTTCTGAGACAGAGGCTCCACCGTCTCAAATGTTTTAGCCTCAGGCTTTTTCTTTGATATAAAAAGCTGTTGTAAAGTCACACGTTGCACATCCTGCAGAACATTTTGGCAGTTGCTAGGAACTAGATACAGATCCTGAGCTGTCCTGGCCTTACATAAATGGTTTAGAAGAAATATGTAGCGGATGGCTTTGAGACAAAGCCAGCATCTCACAAAAGGTCTTAACACCAGTTTGTTTTAAGAACTGGGTTAAATCAACTCTACTGTGAAATTAGTAACAATGAGTAGAGTGTAAAATGAATGCAGCTCCTTAGACACTGATTGTTGGACCTCTGTCAGATTTCATTTTCTTTGTAATACAATAATAAATAATATTAAAATCCAGAAGATTACCTTGTAGTCGTTTCTCCAGCATTTTTCCTGGAGAAAACCTCAAGTGGCAAGGTCTTAATATATATGGTGTATGGTATGATGTCCGCACCTATGAAGAAAGGCTGTATATATTTTCCAAATTCCACTGTCTGCATTCTTCTACTAATGCTCACTTACTGACACGTGTAGTACATCTGGAGACCATCACACCTCAGTTTTCCTGTCGCTGGTTGGATCTTCCCAAGGCTTATAGGACATGTTGGGACCTTCAGCCAAAACAAGAGTGTACCTGAACAAAACATTATTTTAGCCCCTTTGGGCTCATTTCTTCTCTGGGCTCTTCAACTCACTAGTCCTGCTTCTGCTTCTGGCAGGGGTAACAACTCATCCCTCCTGGTAGTGCCCTCCCCCTACTCCAGGCTTTAGCTCAGGGAGCCTAAAGCTGTAACCTTTACACAAAAACTCACCCTGCTTTGTTCTTCCTCAGGCTACTTATTACACAGCTTTCTCCTCTTAGGTCTCCTTCAGGCCTCATTAGCTAAGCCCTTTTCAGGCTCCATCCCTACCTTCTTCTCCACAGGGAAGCACCTGGCAAACACCCCCACGCCCCCAGCTCAGCACTCTCCTAGTACAGGACTCTCTCTTGCTCCTTCCCAGCAGGGACTAACCACTACTAGTCCTTCCCCAGACCCTGTTCCTTGGCTAGCCAGCACACTGCAACTCCTGTCAACTCTATTCCATAGTGAGAACTGGTTGCTTCTTAAATATCCTCCAGCAAGCCTGTCCTTGGACACATGCTGGATCGCATGATACTCACATTACCCTTCCTACTTCAGTCCCATAAGGAGGATCACAGGAAAGAATCTAGGCAAGCACTGCTCTTGAAAGCCCAGCCTATCCCATGACCGTAGCAAGAAAAACAACCCCATCACTCCCCTCTTCATACACCACCCCTGGATTTCAGGATCAAGTTCAAAACTACACAATATATTTGTAAAACTCCACACAGACTTACCATTAACTACCTTTGGAACATTCTCTGTCTCTCTTATCCTTACACTTCCAGCACCTGCCTGCTTTCTGTGCAGATCTCGCTATAAATGAATTGCCACTTGAGAATTTTCTCGGTAAAAATATGGCAAACACAACAGCTGCCAGTATTTTCTCTTGGGCCTTCAATAAACTATTATTGTTCTCCCCCCACCATCTCGCCACAGCCTTTGCCTTTTCAGCTCCTGACCTTTCGAATATCTTCCAGCATCCCTCTGCCTTATCTGTGCAGTGTGATGAATGGAATTGGAGACGGTTAGCTCTTCAGCTCATTTCATGTCTCATTTGGCAACAAGGTCAAAACGTTTATACCTAGGTGCATAGAGTTAGCCTCTTGAATCCACATTTAAGCCCCCAACTAAAAGTGACCTCATTTTCAGAGGTGCTCACCTTTTGCAGCTCTACTTAACTTTAGTGGAGGTTGCCAGACTATAAATGAGAACAAAGTGTCATAAAAAAGTTTAAATGTAAGTATTTTCATAACTCACTGATTATCATAGTATAATTCAGGGGTCTCAAACTCAAATGACCACGAGGGCCACATAAGGACTAGTACATTGGCCCGCAGGCCGCATCACTGACCCCTGCACTGCTGCTCCAGCCCCGCCCCCACTCCACCCCTTCCATGAGGCCCTGCCCCTGCCCCACCTCTTCCCACCCCTTCCCTGCCCCCATTCCAACCCCTTTCCTGAAATCACCACCCCAACTCCGCCCCTTCCCTGCCCCCAGGGGGTGCAGGAGGGGTGCGGGGTGCAGCAGGGGGTTTGGCTGCAGGAGGGGTTACGGGGGCGGGTCCGGCCTGGCACGCACCGGGGGCAGGGAAGGCTCCCTGCCAGCCTGCCCTGCCCCTGTGTTGCTTTGGGAAACAGCCAGAACCTGGGTGGGGGGGGGGCACAGGGGTATGTGTGTTGCCCTGGCAGCGCCTCCAGGCACCGCCCCCCACAGCTCCCATTGG